TCCCCCTTGCCTGCCCCGCCGCTGCGGCGAAGCCAGGAAACGCGTCCAGGAAAAAGGAAATCCGATTTCCGACCCAGCCGGGGAAGCTTTTAAATAGGAATAGACGATCCAGTGGGCTGGGGTAGGGAGGAGAAAGGGAGTGAGGGAGACAGGTGTGGGGCAGGGGGAGAGGGAGAGGAGGCGGGTGGGTGGCAGGATGGGTGACAGGAGCGGCGGGTGGAAGCAAGGATGTCTGTCGGCATTTGGGGAGTGCACTGCTGTGGAAAGGAGAGATAAATGGATAGCAGGAAGGAAATGGGTGAATGGATGGAAGGACAGAAGAGATGATGGTGAGTGGGTAGGTGGAGGAAAGAAAGTGCGAGAGATCGATGGATGGAAGGGCAGGTAATGGATAAGATGATGGGAAAACAGGCTGATGGAAGGGACGTTGGGTGGATGGAGGGGTTGGCTGATGCCAGGGATAGAAAGGGGGATGCAGGGACAAGTGGGTGGGGTGGAAGAATGGATGGAAGCTCTGGGGAAGGGTGGGTGGGTGGGTGGAAAGATGGGTTGGAAGAAAAGAAGGGTGGATGCAGAGATGGAAGGACAGGGCGACGGTGGGTGGATGAAGGATGGGAAGATGAATGTGCAGGTGTGGAAAGCTGTGAGGGCAGCTGAAAGGAAGAAGGAAGGGATGTTTGTGGTGCTGGAAGGCAGGAAGAGAAAATGGACAGAGGGAGAGCGGATAACAGGGTAGGCGCTGGAAGGAGATGGGGCAGAGGAGAGCCCCAGGGCCTCAGCGGGACAGGGTGGGCAGGGCTGGGCGCTGTGCGGTGCACGGCGCTGCGGTGGGGCAGCGGCCGAGGGATCCGCCCGTACCTGGCAGGTACATGTTGAGCAGCAGTGGCACCGCTCCGGTGCCGTGTCTCATGGCAGCTGTGGGGGCGGCCCGCGGGCTGCATGTTTTAATATTCCTGCCCCTATTATTATTATTATTATTCCACTTTATCAGGGAGCAGCTGATGGCGAATAAATGGCAGCGGGACGGGCAGGGGACGGGCAGGGGCCGGGGGAGGCGGGGGAAGGGGGAGTTTCCAGGCAACTCGCAGGGGCTGGGGCCCCGGCTCCAGCAATTTCCTCCGCTGTAATTAAAGCGGGCGCTGCCCCCCCCTTCCTCCCCCCGCTATCGGGCCCGCATCAGACTTTAATCACGGCCGCGGGTTTCTATGGAGAACGGTTCGGGCCGCTTCCTGCCTCTTCCGCCTCCTTAACTCTTCGCAAACACGGCGCTGACATCCCAGCTGGGAGCGGGCCCGGCCACTGCCTGCCTGGAGACTGCCCGGGCCCGGCCTCCCACCAGCATCTCGCCTCCCGAGCCGCCCAGGGGCCCCGGAGCCGCTCCCCGGCGCGGCGCGGGCAGCAGCACCCGCGCTGCGCCCCGGCCTCCGGCTCTCCCAGCCGCAGCGCTGCTGGCCCTGGGGGTCCGCCCCTGCCCCCGCCCCAGCTCCAGCATCACCAGCACAGTCCTGGGGGCTCCGTGCAGTTCACAGAGCCCTGGCGTGGGCCAGGTGAGTCCCCACCAGGGCCCTCCACCTCCAGGACAATGGTCATGGGGCTCCTTTGCAGTGCCCAGAGTTTTGGGGTGGTAAGTGCATCTCCAGCAGCTGGTGGCACCAGGTCATCCCACAGCTCTGCCACCTCCCTGGCTCCTCTGTGCTCTCCTGAATAGTCCCTGCCGCAGGGACAGTCAAGCCTGTGACCATCCCACAGCACCCAGCCCTGTCCCAATCTGCTGCACATCTTTATTAGGATCCAGAGAAGCTGGGTAAACCCCAACACCCACACAAACCAGGATGGCCCCATCTTCATCCGCTTGTGCTGGCAGCGCTGGGTACATTCTGAAGACAGGAGGACATTTCATGGAGAAATTTATGATGGAGGAATGTGATACCAGCTCCAAAAAGACACATCCGGCCAGGTTTTTCCCTGTCACCCATGGCCTCAGCTGTTTTATGCACTTGTGGGGTGCTGTTGGAGTCTCTGTCCCCCAGGTCAGGAGTGGACCCTCCACAGGATCCCACAGCTTGAGGCAGCCAGGCAGTGTGCCAACAGCTGTCACCAGTTCTCCTCCATGAGTCCAACCCTGTACAGCCAAGCTCACAACTTCTTCTGTAGTGTTTCATTGATGTCTGGCAAAAGGATGAGCTCTCATGCTGGATTTAGCTGCCTTTCTGGAAAGTGACCATTACAAGGTATGAACCTAATGGAAATCAGGGTACAGCCATGCCAGACTCACAGTTTTTATTTATACTGCAGCCAAAATGTGCCTGCCCTGCATGGGAAGCTGCAACCCAAGGGGAGTGATGCTCAGTTGGGGTGGCACAGCCCAACAGAGCTGGTGTCTCCTCTTGGCAGGGGGTGTCCCAAGTGTTCAGGAAACAGGGGATCCCTTGGTTACTGAGCTCCACCTCTGCTCCAGGTGCTCCACCTCTGCTGCCCATCTCCATCATGGACAAAGAGCAGATGCTGGCAAGGGGAGCCATGGGCAGAGACCATGGTATTCCCCCAGCAATTCCCCAGCAATCCTGTTTGGAGGTAACAGCCCTTAAAAAGCTTCTCTTCACCCAACTTGTCTCCTGAGCTCCCCTGAACCTCTCATTGGGGTGTCCAGCTCTCTGTACAGCCCAGCAGCCCTGGCTGCTCCCTTCATCCCCCTCCTCCCCAGCCCCCCAAAGTGCAGCTCTCCCAGCAGTGGCTCCGCAGCCTCCCAGACTTGCTTTCGCTGCCTGAGTCACTGAAACAAACCGCAGGCAACAGAAAACAAGCCCCGGAGACAGCGGGGTGAGGCGGGGGGCGTGCCAGACCCACCAACCCGTCCTCTTCTGGCAGCCCGGGGACCATGATACTCCTCCAGCAAACCTGCATGGTGGAGGGCGTGGAGGGGGGGTTGAGGGATATTGCATCAGCCCAGAGTGGGGAGGGGGCAGGGGTGCAGTAGGGGTCAGGCTCAGAAATAGGTTTAGGGCTGCAGGAGCTGGAGGAGGGGGTGCTTTGGAGGGCACGGGGAATGGGACACCTGGGTCCCTGGGAAAGCCAGTGGGTGGGGGGGCTTAAAGTGGGATGTGAGGGGACTGGGATCTTTGAGTGATCTGGGGTCAGAGGTGTGCTGAAGGACAGGGAGTGTCAGATCCTAAGAGCTGGCAAGCCCTGTGTCCATGTGGAGCTTTGGGGACCAGAGTGATGTGACCCCAGGTTCATGGGGGAGCTGGGGCGGACCAGAGGATTAGGAAGGCAGGATATACGAGAAACCCAGGAAACAGGGGCCCATGTCCATGGGGGAACAAGGGACTGGGCCGTGGGTCTGAGTGGGATCTAGGAGATGATATTTCAGGTCTGTGGGGCTTCTGGGGATGGAGCCCAGACATGTGGAACACCCAGCTGGAAGCAGCTGCAGGTCCCTCCGGCTGCAAGAGGCAGTCTGCCCCCACCCCCCACTCCAGTGCTCTCCTCCCACCCCAGGTGGAGCAATAAGGACCCCAGACTTTGCAATGACCCCCACAGCCCACCCCTACCCCCATCACAGCCTATGTGCAGGTGCCCGGGAAAGCTTCACCTGTGAGCCGGCGTTGTGGAGCGGAGCCGAGCTGACGTGGCCCTGGGCTGGCTGCACCTGGCCAGGTGTGCCGGAATGTGTTTGTGCTGGGGGAGAGGCCGTGCGGCCGGCGTGGGGTGGGGCCAGCGGGGACACGGAGGAGACGGGGGCGGGCTGGGGGGCACTCTGCAGCCGGAATGCCATGTGGGATGGTGCTGCTGGGTCTTCTGCACAGCAGCACTGGGGCTGGAGGGGAGAGGGGGCATGCAGGGAAACACGTGTGTGCTCAGCCGTGTGCAGCTCTCTCTCACACACACACACACACTCATGCATATGCTGACACACACACCAGGGCTGGGGTCTCTGCACGCTGCTGGGTGAGGGGTGTGCACAGGCTGACCCCCAACCCAGTCTCCCAGCAGCCTTCTGGGACACTCCCTTTCCTAGGGCAAAGCACGTTTTTAGCAGGGTGGGCATCAGGGAGCCTCGGCATCTCAGGCACTCAAAACTGTTCCACCACGCATCCATGTCCTGGGTGTGGGGAGCACCTTGGGACCAAAAGCCTGTGCCCGAGGAGGGCTTTGGGGTGCCAGAGCAGGACAGATGACAAGGAGGAGGAGAGGAGGAGGAAGCAATGTGCTGGGTGCAGGGAGCACCTCGGGATGGGTAGCCTGCACCCCAGGAGGGTTCAGAGCCAGATGGAAGAGGAGGAGGCTGGGAAAGGGTGCTGGAGGAGGAGGAGGAGGCTGGGTGGGGCTCCCGGTGTCCCAGAGCCGGATACTGGCACGGATATGCTGGCGTGGCAAGGCTGGGGGAGGACACACACACACCTGTGAGCATCAAGCCAGGCCCCCTACCACCTGTGGAACACTGCCCTCAGGCCTCCTTCCCCTGACCCCTGCACAACCACCTCCCCCCCAGCCCCTCTGTGCCAGTGCCCCCAGACCTGACACAACTGTGGCTGCCCCGTGTGCTGTCAGAGTCCCATCCTGCCCCAGATGACCCCTATGCTCTTCCTCCTTCCCATGCCTGCAGCAGGCAGAGACCCCCTTCTCTCTTCCAGAGGCGTGCAGAGGAATGGGACCTTGAGTTTTCACAGATTTTATAGCAACCAATTTCTCTGGCATTGATTCTGGGAGGAGAATCCAAGGTAGAGCCCTGCTGGATGCCTCTTCCCAGGGCACAGCCCTCTTGGTGTCCTCTCCCACCTCCAGCACTCTCTTTGCCCAGTAAGTTCCCCTTTTCCCAGCCAGAGCATCACAGCAGTGGAACTGTGCATGGACGAGAGGTGAGGTGCAGAGAGCTCAGCCCAGGCTGGAGCTGGCCATGAGCCCAAAACTGCCTGGGGAAGGGGAAACCATCCAGGTTGCCACCATGGTCCTCCCAGCATGGCAGCCCCCTGAGGAGCAGAGCATTGGCAGAAGAACTCTTTTTTTTTTTTTTTGACAAATGCCTTTATTTGCTACCGGATAGAGGTCTATTGCACAGCAGCCTGGAGGCTGCAGGGCACACAGCCCTGCTCCTGTTCAGTGCTGGACGCGGCGGATGGATTGGATCTGGTTGGTGTGGGCCTGGCTGCTGTATTCATTGTACTTCTTGAACTCGCCGTTCTGTCTGTCCCGCTCCAGCACGTACTGGTAGCCCCTGTATCCTGGGTACTGGTATGCCACCCACCTACAGGCAGACCCTTGGCTCAGAGCCCCATCCCATCCCATCCCATCCCATCCCATCCCATCCCATCCCTCTGCTTGCTTTGGGAGGAGAAGGACAGAAAAATACCCACTGGCTTGTATTTTCAAGGAAAAGGTAGCAGGAATGCATCCCTTTTATGAAGGGGTCCCCCTTCCAAATCCTGGGGTTTATGGAGGTATTTTATGCAAGGAGGTGCTTTATGCAAGGAGGTGCTTCTGAACCCCTGCTCTTGGCACCCCCAGTCCCTGCCCCACTGGCTGCACTCACGCTCCGGCGTTCACTTTGATGGATGCCACCTCCTTGTTGCCCCAGCCCATGGCCTGCAGCGAGGGATAGTCGTCACTCAGCTCAAACTTGTGACCCTGGAAGTTCTCAGCCTCGTAGAGGATGACTTTGCTGTCATTGTGGTTCTGCAGAGAGACAGAGCTGGAGGTCAGCAGGAACGGGCTGGCTTGCCCAGGGACATGGGATGTGGCATCAGTGTGACACACACCAAGGCACTTTGAGAGGGATCGTGAGCAGCTTTTGTGCAATGCATGGGGATGTCCTTCAGCCTGGCACCCCCTCACTGGGACACCCCAGAACTGCCCCGAGGATGCTGCTCTCATGTCCCTGTGGTCCCAATGCACAGCTGCCAGTGAGAGTTAGTGGCTACAACTTCTGGACCCACATGGACTGATGCCCTCAGCATCACCACGCTCCCCAAGGTTGCAGGAGGGTTCAGGGCAAGGCAGGATGCTGAGAGAGGTCCCCTCAGCTCTGTGGGGCCTTTCTGGGTGCTGGACACGGTGGGGTTAATGGCTGGGACACTGAGTGATGCAGCACTGTCCCCCGTGCCCAGCCCCCACATGCATCTATCTGCACCGAGGAGCAGTCCTGCCAGCAAGGAGTGATCTTATCGCATCCCCTTTATTAAAGCCTGAACATATCTGCCTGGTGATTATTAAAAGTTGGGGGGGGACCCCCCGCTCGGAGGCGCAGACGTGCCGCTGCTGCGAGCAGCAGTGTCTCTGCAGATGGAGCGATAGAGCCGCGGCTGCCCGGCACGCCTCAGGTACCCTGGCTGGGAGGGGGACGGGCCCTGCGCTCCGAGCGTCCCTGCGGTCCCGCCAGCTCCTCTCTGTTCATCCCATCCCCGGGAATCAGGGCTGGGGGACAAGGCCTTGGAACCCCAGCCAGGGAGGTGGCTCTCCAAAGCACAAAGCAGAAGGAGCTGGAATTGTGGTTCAGGCTAAATTTTAGACATAAAAAGCATCCCGGGATCTTTTCAGGGAGGTGGGAGCTGGTGGGTGCAGCTACTCCTCCACTTCACACATACCTCTGTGAACAGCTCACCCCTCCATCCCATGCCCATGTAAGTCATCCTCCAGTCTGTCCCTCATGGCCTCCATGCTGGGCTACCTGGAGGAGGCTCTGCCTGCCCCGAGCCCTCCCTCTGCGGTGTCCCAGTAACTCACTGCGCATTTGACAGGCCGGAAGGAGAGCAGGTGCTCGGTCCGGTAGCCACTGTTCCCGCTCCAGGCCTCCCACCGGGGATAGTCACCCTTCTCCAGGATAAACTGCTGTCCCTGGTACTCAGGGTACTCGAAGCCTACCCAGCTGGAAGGAAAAGGAGGAAAACCCTCAGGGATGTGTGACACAGTCCCCAGGATCAGTCAGGGGTCAGCTTCTCCTTCCTCTGGGCAGGGGACAGAGACGTCCTGGCAGGCTATGGGTCTGTCACAGATGTTGGGGTCGTTGCTAGCAGCAAATGTCCCTTTTGAAAGAGGGATCCCATTCCCCACAGGCACATCATTGCCTCCAACCTATGCCTTGCCTTGGTAAGGTCTCCCTGATTAGCAGATCGGAAAACACAAGGAGCACAAGCAGGGAGGTCGCATGATGAGGCTGTGTCATAGCTGAGGAAGAACTTTGGTGTGCTGGCTCCCTAGCAGTTCCCAACAGTCCCCTGGGAGCAGTGGGTTTGCTGGAGCAGGGTGTGCCAAGGGGCCGCGGGGCCGGCGGGGCACTTACGGGCCAGACTCCACCTTGATGGAGCGGATCTTGCGGAAGCCGCGCTCCATGATGCTGGGGCACTCCATGAGGAATTCGCAGCGCTTGCCCTGGAAGTTCTCCTCCTCCCACACCGTGATCTTGTACTGCCCCAGGGTGTCCATGGCTTCACTGCTGGTCATACGGGTCGCTCGGCTGCTGGCAGAGCCCCACGGATCACCCCAGGGCAGGTGCCCACCGTCAGCCCCCAGCCACCCCACTGCCTGCTGCTGAGCCTGGGATGACGCTGGTGCTGCCCTCACACATCCCATGCCACTGGCCCATTGCCCTCCCAGTCTGGCATGGGGACATTTCCCATTCCCTTTCCTTCGGTGCTGGGAGATCTCTGTCCAGTGAACCCCAAGCTGCAGGGGGAATTTGCAGTGCCCCATCTCTCCATGTGATGTACCCAGGGCTGCCTCAGTTTTTCTTCTCCCAAGCTCCCTGCCATGGCTCCGGGAGCTGTCTGGCTGCGGTGGCACTGTACCCACTGCTGGGAGGCGGCGGTGACCGCAGCTCAGATGCGGGTGCAAGTGTAGCCCTGGGGCAGAGCAGCCCGGCTCCTCCATCCCTCCTGCCCGCACAGGGCACCCCGCTGTGCCACACAGCACCCCGCCACTTGCCCTTCCCCGCGGTGAGCGCTGGGTGGGGGGCTTGCTGTGGGGTGAAGGGAGCGGGGCAGCGCCTGTGCACTGACTGGGGTTTGGGGCTCACAGCCCGGTACTTACTTGGTCGGAGGGCAGGGCACAGAGGCGGAGGTGGCGGTGCCGGCGCCGCTTTTCCTCTCGCCCTTTATAGGCGGGCGCTGAAGTGCCGATGGTGCAGGCGGCCAGGGCGCTGTGTCAGCAGGCAGGGGATGGGGGGGCCCGCGCTGCTCTCCCGGCCCAGACTCCGGCTGTCCATTCCACTTAGGCAGTGTGGCGAGAGCGGCCCCCCCGCGCCCGCCGGGGCTGACAATGAAAGTGCTGGGCTGTGTTTGCGCAGGGGCTCAGGGCACAATGGGCAAAGGGCCTGACGCGCCGCTTTCCTTTCTGCCCCCGGACAATGTCCCCGCTTGGCCCAGGGATTAGGGACCCAGCCTTTCCCAGGGCATCCGCGGCCTTTGCCAGGGTTGAGGCTTGTGGGAAGGAGGTGCCAGGGTGAAGTGGGGATTTGCCATCTGGGAGCTGAGGGGCACTGATGTCCTCACGCTGGAATTCAGGGCTTATCTGGGGCTGCTTCTGCCCCTCCACGTGGGACTCTGCCATCCTTTTCCAGCCGGGCCCTGCAGGGATTCCTGTGCTGGCTGCAGACTGGGTCCTAATGGACCCCAGTTAAAAGCTTGTAATGCCCTGAGCATTTCCCCTGGCTTGACAAAGAGCTCCCTGTGCTCCCACTCACCTTCCACTTGGGCCAGGGACACTGCACAGCAGGAGGGGACCAGCTTTGGGACAGAGCTGTGTCTTTCACCTGGAGAGGAGGACCAGCCCTGCCTGGAACTGCACCATGCCATGCAGCGATCCCCAGTGTCTCCTACCAGGACCTGGGACGGACGAGGCCAACACAGGCTGGAAGGAGGAAGAGTGCCCTGTGAGCTGTGCAATCCTGGGTGTCTAGGCAGCTGTGTTCCTTGCAGCATCCCTGTGTAGTCTGTGGTGAGGCTGGGCACTCCCCACCTTCAGCTGGGCAGGTGACACGCTGGCCACTGGGCAAGGGCCAGACCGCAGCACCTCAAACCTTCCCAGGAAAACTCCAGCCCTTCTGGGGGTCCTGGGCATGGGGTCAACATCACAAGAGACCCGGACATTGTTGGTTATGGAGAATGCAGTATGAGCAGCTGGGGGTGGTGTTAGTACGCCTGGCATCAACACAAATAGGGGACCGAGGGGTGACAGCAAGGACGGGCTGGGGGCAGGACTCTGGGGTTCCTTTTGTCACCTCCCCACTGCTCGACAGCCCCGAGGCTCGGTGCGGATCTGCGCCGATGCCTGCGGATCCCAGCAGAGGGTGCAGCCTGGCAGCGGTTGGAGCAGGCTCCAGCTCAGGGACATTAGTGGCCCTTGGCAGGGGACGGGCGCTGGGGAGGCGACCCTCAGCTTGCGTTGCCTGAAATGCTCCTAGCAGGGCGGAGCAGACCCTCTTGGAGCTATCTGGGGAAGCAGAAGGTGGAAGGAAGGATAGGGATGCTCCCTGGAGAAGGAAAAGAAGCCCAGTGCAGCCTGGTGGCTTGGGGACATCTCTCAGAATGCTGGGAGATAGGTCTGGGCAGGATTTAGGGAAGCCACCACCTTGGCAAAGGCGGGGCAGGATGCAGAGCTAATGCACTGCAGGGTCTCCCCACGGTGCTGCCACGCCCTGCCTGGGCTGTGAGAACAGAGGTGTGGGGCACTGGTTAGTTTGGGGTGCTTGAACTGGGGACTCTGAGGTGCAGGGCACTGTGGGTGTATTACAGAGCCCCAGTACGTGAGGCACCACAGAACACATAGGATGCTGCAAGCTGTTATAGGCTGTGCATGTGTGGGGCACTGTATGGTGTGCCACAGCATCCATGGGGCACTGGGAGTGTGCCATGAGGGGCCATCCCCATGCAACATTTTGGATAAAAGCACTGGAAGGTGAATGGTGCAGAGGAGAAACCCAGATGCAGACAGTGCCACTCCCTTGTTCCTCAGCACTCTCTGGGCTGTGCTTCACCTCCTGCTTGGTACATTCAGGGCAGCCACACGGGAGCCACAGCCACTGTGAATCAGTGGGGTCACTCACAAGCAGCCTTCCCTGGCTGCATCCCAGAATGCTGATGCAGCCTGTCCTCCCTGGGCCATCTCCAGGTAGTTTCTGTCACCAGCCAGCATTCCCCTGGCTGGGTCACCTGCAGGCCCCAGCCACACCTGCCCAGCTGGGGACAGGGGCAGAGGGAGGCTGGTGCGGGGGCAGGCAGTGACTCTGCTCAAGGGCAGCTGCTCATGCGGGCTGCGGGAGCTGGTTAGCACTCGCCCAGGGCCTCCTGCATAGGCTAATTTAATAAGGGCCCCTCGTAGCTCCCAGCTCAGCTTGTTCCCTGCACTAGCAAAACAGATCATGTTTCCCAGTGCCACTGGGCACAGCGTGGCAGCCGGCAGCCCGGGGGCACGGTGGGAGCAGAAGGTCACCCAAGTGCTCCATGCCGAGCCCAGACCATGCCAGCCATGGGCTGTACCCCGTGCCTTGTGCAGGCACTGGTCCCAGGACAGGGCACAGCTGGGGGAGCCTGCAGGCTGAAGGGCAGCCATGAGAGAGGCGAGGCAGGCGCTGCCCAGGAATCCCGATGGTGATGTTTTCTGTCGAAATACTGTCTGTACCCATTGATGGAATATCTGGGCTGGCTGACCAAGGCAGCACAGCTGTGTGTGGTCCGCCTAGCTGACACCAGGGCTGAGCCCTGGTCACACCCTGCCAGCACCTCTAGCTGCTCTCTCCTTCTCCCCAGCCCTACTGGGGGCTGGACCAGCACTCCAGGGGGCTGGAGGTCTGGGGGCTGGGCCCAACAGGAGCAGATGGAGCTGGAGCCAGCCCCTGTTTGTCTTTCTTCCAGTTGCCTGGTGCTCTGTTTGTTCTAGGGATGGCTTCCTGCTGTCAGGGCCAAAACAGGTGGCTTTTATTTGCAGGGTCTGGCTGATTAGATCAGGGGTGGTGTGTCATTGCCCCCACACAGTTCCACTGCTCCCTTTTTCCTCTGCTTTCTCCCCCAGCCTCATTTCTGTGGGAAATCATCCTCCTTGACAAGGATGCAAACACCCTCCTTCTCTCTCCAGTCACCTGTGCTTTGGGGCTGATCTGAACATGGCCACACCAGGACTGGTTAATCCCAGCCAAAACCCCTACTTCCACCTTCTGAATCTTGGATCCCAGAGCCAGAAGGGTTGCTGGGATCCCCAGTGCCACTTGTCCCCTCCAGAAGCTTTGAGCCGTATGTGTACAGCACACATCTGCCACAGAAGCCTCCACGCACAGGCGCTGCCTTGCACAGGGAGCCCTGGCCCTTGCCAGCTGCCCCACAGGCACGTGTCCCCTGTGCACGCAGCCACCCCATCCCATCCCTGCAGCCAGGAGCTCCTGGGATGGCAGGAGCCCGGCAGATGTTGCTGGGATTAGCTCCCACGCAGGTGCACACGCACAGCGTGGGCTGCCAGCTGTTCCATGCCCCTGGCACCGTGGCCACCCCGGGCACGCTGCTCACCCCCTCCTCATGGGACCGTGGCTGCCCACTCTGCCCTGTGGCACCCACAGCTCTGGGGGTGCACCTGCACAACCCTCCCAGACAAGGATAGTCCCAGGGACACACGTTCACCCTGTGCCACCCATTCACCACCTGAGTCTGGCTGTCCCCAGTATGCGGGTGTGCTCAGTCCCCACGAACTGCCAGGGAAGCTGTGGCCTCACCTGCCTGCTCCCCACTGTTCCCATGGGGACTAATCCCACCTGAAGGTCAGGGAGGCTCTGCCAGCTGCTTACCTCCTGCCTGTGGATTACAGCCTGGGTGTGAGCAGGTGGAAAAGGCTGCCTCCCCAGCTTAGCCCACCCCTAGGAGGGAACTGATAGCAGCACAAAACCAAGACAGACTGCTCCAAAAGGGAACCCAGGGTGGCATGTCCCTTTCAGCCTGAGGTGTCCCGTCTGTCACACCTTACCCAGTCGGGATGCCAGGCACTGGGGCAGAGGAGCTGGTGTCTGGTCCTCTGGTCCAGATCCTGACCTGCAAGGGAGCCTGCTGGTGCCAGCCACTGTGACCTCCTGCTTGTTAGCACAGGTGACCTCAGCCTGGCACCTCCAGGGCACCCCATATCTTCAGTGTCCTGGAGGAGCTTGCTGGTCCTCAGAGTCCCCAGTGCAGACCAGTCCCAGGGCTGCGGCGATGGAGACAGGGGAGCACATCCCGACCTGCACCCAGCCTGGCCTGGATGCAGCTGCTGATGCATCTCCTTCAGTACATTGTGTCATTTTGGAGGGATACCACGGGGTGAGCACAGCTTCCCAGATGCCAGCTTTACCTATAGCAACTAAGGTGTTGTCCTGGAGGTGCAGAGTGCAAGATTAAGGCTGGCAGCCCCTGGCAGCCTCAGAGCCAGGGGATACCAGCTCAGCTGCACCTGACCAAGGTCCCACTCCACCCTAGTGCTCCTCCACTGCCCTGTTGGCCTCATCTGTAGTGGCAGACACACCAAGCTGAGTGATGCTCATGCAGGAGGCAGATGAAAAGGTTGGCAGTGGCGGGTCCCCTCCTCCAGCAGCTCTGAGGATCAGCACAGGCGGGGGCTGAGCCAGGCGCTGCCACAGGAACAGAACATCCTGCCCCAGGGCTCCTGAAGCCAGCAATAGCTGGGCCAGAAGCAGCAGCCCTGGCAGCCTGCTCAGTGTCCATCTCCCAGGCAGGCTGCCCACACACTTCCCAGAGCCGCTGGCTGGGAAGAGAGGAGCCCCATCACTCACCCCTTCCCTGCAGGCCCCTTGGGAGGATGGGGCTGATGTATTCCAAGATGCAGGATTAGTATAAGCTCTGGGTTTTTCACCCCAGCGTCTTGACTCCTTCATCAGGGCTCTCCCTTATCGCTTTCTCTTATGGGGGCTCAAAGACATTTTTTGGGGGCATTTGTAAAACATGTCCCCTCACCCCAGTGGTCTGTGGGTGCAGGGGGGGAGGATGCCAGGCTGTACTTATGCTGTCCCTGATACTCCCCACGGCCAGGAATGGGTTGGAGTGTGCAGAATTCCTGTAGTTTCACCACAGCAGAATGCAGATCCCTG